GCTACATTTTCTAATGTCCTTTCACAGAAGATAAAATAAGCCTTGGAGAAGGAAGGTTTTAAGCAGATCTTACTAACAGATTTGACTAAGATAAGTAGAAAAGCAGTAGTGACATTAATTAAAGTATCAGTGTCAGTTCAAGGTTGGAAAGACTGGTGCCTCTGCAAACACCCATACAACCTTCCATTTTGTATGTGGAGGTTGTATATTGCAATTAACTTTGTAATCTGGATTATCTTTGGAGGCAGGCTTAAAAAGCAGGATTCCTACTACAATGAGGAGGACAAAATGGTGTTATCACTAAGGTAATTAAAAATAGAACAAGAGAGAACTTTTGTTGGGTGACTGCTGCCACAAACGTCTCCATTCTTCCCATCTGTTGGAACTGAACTGAGTGTAGTACAGTATAGAAGATATCTTGAATTGATTTGCAGCCACTGACATTTCTTGAAGAAACAGCACTTTATCACCAGAGCAAAGATGAATAAATGTGATTCAGTTGCTAACTAACCTCCACATCTCTTTCTGAAAGATGGGATAACTCAGAACTAATAATTTCATTTTCTTGTAACAAATATTAAATCTTTAATAAATCATTCATACAACTTCTTACATTAATATCACAAAAGCATGACAATATGAAAAAATATGTTTTGCAGAGCTTTCAAGAAGGATTTTGATATAGGTATCAAGGTATTTATTAATTTCTGAGAGCTACCATTTTTGTAAGTATTTAACTGAGTCAGGTCATCTGCTCCAAGCCCATAATTACCTTTGAGAGTGGAAAATGTTCAGAAATCCATCAGTATTCAAAGCACGAGAGGAATAGTAAATCTTGTAATACTGGGTATTATTTCCACTTGCACACTAGGCCATACAGACTGAATCCACATGGGAAGCCCTTTTCAAATGAATCTTAGTCCTCTCTTAACACACAGCCCATGACAGCTAGACAATTGAGTCCTGAACAATATGCAGACTGTTTTGGGAACCAGCATTACCTTTTTAGCACAAGCACCTAAAATAACTATTCGGGGCATTCAAGCCCGACAAGCAAGCTCCTGTTTTCAATCTCCGCTTCCCCAGTTGTCTCTATTTATTAATTCTTTCATAGGTTATGAAAAATCATAAATAATTAACCAGAAATTTCAATTTTAATTCAGAATAGATATACTTGTATATGGTAAGTTGTAAAATTCCTTCTCATTATCAGTGAAGCACATGCTGCGCAGTGGATTATTTTCTCATGCTTTTCCTATTAAAAATGGCATCTTAAATCACACCACAATATGGTTTCTTGCAGGATTCAGTATGCAGGAGTATTGTGATTTGTGTCCTACAATCCTCACCTAATGATTGCATAATTTTTGGCTTTTCATCTTTTACGGTCTTTAAATCCTTCCCCTTCTTTAAGGCTCAGTTTTAAAGTATTGCACAGGAGAAGTCACCCAACACACAGAGAATTCTCCTACTATAAATTAATTGCTGAAAAGAGCGGGGAACAAGTTAAGCATTATTAGTGTATGCTGGGAGGCATCTGGCACTAATCTGGTGTTTCCTGGTATTGCCCCACTTCAAATTCAAGGCTAGGTGAAGTGCTATTTAATATTTCATTCTCAAGTTTGAGGTGTTCTCTCTGGCTGCCCAATTCTTTCACACAGGAGGAACAGTCGCAGGGAAACTTCAGAGTCGGGTCTGAAGAGCCTCAGAGCATGCAAATCTGGGAATGTGCTTTAGTTTCAGGATGACCAGTGTTCAAGACCCAGTCTTCTTCCTCCCTTTACAGAGGAGGAAGCATGCAGTTGTAGGGAGAAGCTGAGTGACCTCAGTATAAAACTGATAAAGAGGCATTAATTGCCAAGTACTTTACCCTGCAGAATTTCTTATCCTCACCATGGAGCTAATCTGTTGCAGCACAGATTTTGCTGTTTGGGTCATAAAACAATGGTTTTTTCTTGTTGGATTTTGGACAGTTTTCTTTGTGAGAGTCGTCAGTATTGATTCAGTGATAATCTCTTTAGATTGGACAACAGGAATTGCTCTGCCATCCTTCTCACCAAAGAGAAAGAAAAACCACCTGATCTATTCAGAAAAGTCCTATAGGCAAGTTTCCTTATATCATGGTTAAACCATTCTTAATAATGTAAATACTAAGCTATTATTAATTGAATTAATTTCAATAAGAAGTAGAAGCCTGCACAAAAAGGATAAAATTACCATCTGAGCACTTTAGTAGAGGATTTGTGTATTTTTCTTATTGTATTATTATTTTACCAGTGAAAGTTTATAAACCAGCAGCGAGATTGGGTCTTCTGTTTAAGTGGAAACATAATCTCTCCATTGTTCCTGTGCTAGAGTTCTAACTTTTCATAGTAGGTAGGCTTTAAAAAAAAGCCAGAGAAATATTTCCTGTCATGCAGGACTCATGCTTTAAATGCCACTTGTTAAACAAGTAATATTATTTCAATTTTTAAAAATATAAAAATAATGACCAGATATGATTCAGTTACCCATCTGTGCAGTCCTCCAGCCAGTCAGTTACATTCATCCCACAGAATCTCAAACAGTTCTCGCAGGCTGTCAAGGTGACAGTTTCAGTGGGTGTGCAAGTAGTCGAGTCCCCGAGACAGCGATGGCAGACACTTGGGAAAAACCCTCCAAGGTCTCCTCTCCTCACCACTCCTACATTGCACGTGGCCACCACCCCCTGTGCAAGATTTGTCAAAGCTACCACCTTATCCTTCCCCCTTCCCATGCTCCCCATGCCCTGTGATTTACAGAAGAGAGAGAAAGGATTTGGTAAGCTTTAGCTGGACACTGAGGCTTGTTCCAAATGCTGAGGTTGCTACGGGGATCAGATGTTGGTCATGGGGTTGAACACCTTATTCCCCTTGGATATTTGCTAGGTGAAGTGACACTGAGGATAGTGTCCTCTTCCAGAAAAGGCCCTGAGAGGTGTAAAAGCAGGAAAGATGCCACCCACGTGCCACTCCATAGTATAACAATCACTCTGTGACTTCCCCACATAGCCACAGGTAGTAATTTCAACAGGATAGTTACTTGAAAATTAAACTGAAATCTCCATATTTAACTGTCCTGTGATGTCTGTGTGCCTCATTGTGTCCACATCAACATGGTTCCAAGATAAATAAAAAGGAAAGGCTCATAAGCTGGGTTTCAGGCCAATAAAACACTGCTGTTGGACTATGTTGCAGGTGAAGCCACTGTATTAGCTTTTGACTTCCAGACAAATGGAGTGGGATCTTACAATTAATCAACTAACCTCATTAAAGGTTTTTTACCAAAAATGATAAACTTTTACTAGTTCTTGACCTATTTAATGAAAAATGTTTCAAAACAATAGGCATACCCTGTTGATGAGCCTGACATAACATATGCAATTTATGGAAAAAATGGCATTCTTTAACAATAATAATTGAAATCCCTTACCTATGCAAACTTCACCAGTCTAAAAAAATATTGTGGCAGAACAGAGTTCTGTTGTAACTTGAAAGCTGCTAAATGCAGGAAGAGTTAACTTTACCAAAGAAACGCCAAACAGTGACTTCCACAACTCTCACAGAAGATTTTTGCCCAGGCTTTGCATTATAATGAACTCTTTATGATAATATGCAAAAAACCCTTTTGAAACAGCACACTGCAAGTCAGTGGCTGTCAGGAATCGTAACTGATAACTCACCTCTCTACTGCTGGTACCTAGTAGGCAAGAAATTGGATATTTAATGTGGTCAGCTAGCATCAATATCTCCACAGTATTTCTTTTGTCAAAATGATCTGATAACAGTGAAGAATCTTTAAGCTGAGTCCTTCATCTCTCAACAAATTCAGTGCAGGATGACAGACTCTACTGGAGAATTTGAGGGACCAAAACTATGAGCCTTCTCTCTGTGAACAATGTATGGAGCTTAGTTTCACTATAATAGTCATGCATGTTGGAAATTGTCAGGGAGACCTTTCCTTCCCTCACGCAAAACTGAAATCACAAACATATTTCTGATTGGAAAGACAAACAGATGATCCCAACTAAGGTTAGCATTTCTTCTATGGGCTATAAGAGTATTACGTACACCAAATGTTATTCTGAAGTTTGTGAAATAGGGGAGCATATCAGAATATCATACATGCATTAGCACCCACACATATATAAAACTACACTTGAAAAAGACTTTCATATGTCAGCTTTTCAATAAGCAAAGTATTTAGCGTAATACAACAGAATTTACAGTATGTTCTCTTTTAAAGTTTAGTCTCTGTCACACAAATGGAATTTCAGGCAGTTGCTTTTTCTGCCTGATATGTTCCCAACCTCCTTTAACATGTCTATTTTCGCTGGTTCTAAGATTTCTTTGTTACTCATTTTTCTTTTACAATCCAGGACACAGTTCTCAGCTGATACTGCAAGTCTCTGAAGAGAGCAATCCCTCTTCATAAGTCTGGCTGAGGCAAAAAATAGCCCTGTCAGCTTCTGACAGGCTGAACTTAGCCAAGTGAAATGTTTTAACATTTTATCATCTTAATGAACAGTCTTACTTATAATGTGGGCAACTTTACTGTCATTGTATGCAGACTGATGAATAGATTATGGAATGTATCTGTTTGGGAAATACTGAATATACTAAGAAATTTAAATTTTGACCAAAGGGCAATTATCTTAGATTCTATAAATAACTTTAAGATTAAATGTTCTTAGCCAATCTGAAATAAGGGGTTTGCTTAATGGTAACATCTATGACTCTGAAAATACCTCACAGTGATAAATAACTAACTTCCAAATCATAGAAATTTGCAATATACAAAAAATATCTGTAAAACCCCGATAACCCATTTAAATATTACCATTAATGTAATACAGCAAATAAATATGTAGACTAAATATCTAAAGATACCTTTAGAACTTTATAGTGGAGGGGTGGGGGAAGTTTGAAAGTACAAAATAAAAAGTCTAACAGGAAAAAGAGCATGGGTTAACAATTGCTTACCCTCTTTTCTGCTACCTCATCCTCTCCTGTAGACTCTTTGCCATCATGTTCATCTCTCAGGGTTCGCATATGGTTTTTGTGTGCTGGCTCTCTGTTTAAAGTTGTATATCCTATATGTTCATAAATTGGATTTATTGTCATCTTGGCAATGTATTCAGCTGCCTTCGTTTCAATATAAAGAGTAATCAATCCATCTGTCACGAGGTCATGGATGGACTCAAAACGTTTCTCCCCAACAAAGTGCTTTCCATCGTAGTAGAGTCTGAAGTTTCTGGTTTGACTTCCAAATCTGCCTCAATGAAATGGGAAAGGTTTTTTTATAAATAACAGTAAGCAGAACAAAGAAGAGTAAGCAAGCTTTTGCAAACAATAAAAAACACTTCATCACTTAAAGCTGTGACTATGCTCTGTATCTGCTCCAGATGAGGATGAAAAACTCAACTACTACTTAGCAAAGATAGGAAGGAGAGATCAACAACAACTGCAGATAGATGGCCAAAACAGCAACTGTCCCAGAAGGAGCTGTTTGTTCCCAGATTCTTTTAGCCTCTCTATTATCCCATGGAAAAACTGAAAATCACTTCACATGCTTTATGGCTTTTTTTAGTACTTTACTACTGCATCACTGTAGTCAATTTGCTTGACTCTGATATGAAGAGCTCTCATAAGAGAGTCCTCTATGACAGCTGATCCATATGGAGTTTTGATGCTGCCTCAGCCCCCTGTGCCCTGCTTGCTTGCAGGAAGGGGCCACACAGGGTTAAGCTGATCTTCAGTGCCAACAACTACACTGAAGCACAACTGATGCCAGAACTGGAGCAGCCCAGGACAAAATGGCACAAGGGCAAACATTCTTTATTCCTGGCCAAAGGCCAAGGACTAACTCTTCAAGCTTTGTACAAAAGTCCTTCTGTGTTATGCTTGTTGAGTCCTAAGCTTCAAGCAAGTCTTTGTAACATACTGGATATGTAAGGTATAAGGCATCTGATGCTACCAATTCTGCAGCTGGGAAGGAATAGGATTTTGATCCAGCCTCTTAGCAACCATAAAAATGGCAACTTTACCTGAATATTAGCATATTTTAAAAACTGTACTTTGAACCTGCAACAATTTTCTGCCTGAAAGCAGTCCACACATGCAACAACATAGCCACGTTTGCACTTGGCAACAACCAATGCGTGTCCTGCAGAGAAGATGGAAGTAGGAAGATGCTTTCACAGCTCACTCGAGTTATTCCTTGATCAGACAGTAGCAATGGTGGCTGCTCAGGACCCCCTTGTGAGGTCAGAGCTGCCAAGCACTAAAAACTAAATTTGAAAGGATGGATTAATTTCATTCAATAATCAAATGCTTCACAGGAGATGTTAAGGAACAAAGTAAATGCTGGCGCCTTGCAGAAGCGGCTGCTTTTCAATGGGGTCTTGCCAAACAGGGGAAAGCATCATTTCAGACCTTGCCTCAGAACTAAAATTGTCCTCTTCTTGCAAATATGGGCAAACCCACTTTTTTCTGTACATTTTTTTTTCTTGTGTTCTCAATCAAAATATCAAACCTTCCCATCCCCTATCAATAATCTGACAGTAACTGTAACTTCAGGAGCTATTTTTATACAAGGCTCAAATGTGAGTGGGCCCTGAGGAATTTGCTTCCTGCTCACTGAGAAGAGAGAACATGTGTAGGAAACTACCTGGGCATTTTACTGGAAATATGTTGGTACTTTTATGCACATTTTTATGCCACACAAACTCAAAGTTCACCGAATCAAACTGAAAAGAAAGAATTCAGAAAATCAAAGAAAGATATACACTTCTACCCGATACTAATTTCATCACAAGATGCAATTCTGTGTGAACAGATGTCATTCAGAAAGCAGAAAGATAACAGCAGAAAGGGTAGGAATGTGTTCAGGCTCATTCTTCAAAGCATCTTTCTACTGAACGTAGTGCGTAGTGAACAGGTTTTGACCACGAGACATACTCTTGGCATACCCTTCACTGCTGGAGAAGTCAACATGAGCCAAGAGTGCTCAGCATTTTGCAGTGCCAAAGTGAGAAACCTTCACTGTCTTCTGCTCAAGTCAGTGGCAATAACGCACATGGAGCACACACAAGCACTGCAATGTTAAAATCTGACAGGAGAACGGAGGAAGTTTGACAGTGAAGAATAATGGGTTTTAAATGACAACACACAATTGAGTTTATTTAGAGATGTAGCAGGTGAACTGCTGCTCTAATCAGTAACATATGCTCTGACAGTACTTACAGCAGAGCTCTAAACAAGCTGAAGGTAACTTATTGCTCTTAGCTTTCTAGAAGAGAAAGTATTACACTAATCTTATCAAGAGAAAATAAGGCACAGAAAAGCTTCCCAGGGCCTATTACCAAGTAAACATGGCGTCTTGATTTTAGTAACAACTTTCAGAGTCTAAAACAAAGTTCCAAAGATCAAGATGACCAAGGAATAGGATTCCTAAAAGTACATAATCTTTATCCCACTGCTCCTGACCTACATTTCAGCACAGGAATATCTCGTAGACAACGTCCCACAGTTTTAATTCTTTCACAGCCTCCCTTGCCTAAACTCATCCCTCCTGTAAACAGGATGAAACTTCCCCCTGTATGGATCTGGGGAACAGCACACCAATTTCTTTTAGCATGTGTGGCTTTCTAAAGGTACACTCAACTTTCTCAGTTTAAAATACATTAGGATTATTTAACAATTACCACTTAAAGGTATTCAGATAAAAATATTACTCTGCATCAGTGTCATAACCTTTTGGAAAAGGTGATTACATATCGGCTACAAGAGGTAACATTGAATAGTTTGCCTTAAACTGATTTCCCATTTGTTCCAAATCAAACTATTTTTCTCTTTATTAATTTCCTATTGAGTATGCTGTGGGGAAATATATATATATATATTTAAACAAAATCCTATTAGCAACAGGGAGGGAAAAAAACCTTCCAAATCGACACAATTCAATGAACCATCAATCTCTTACAAAGACTGTATCATCAATGATGTCTCTCAGAACACTGGTTGTTTTTTTTTTCTTTCAAATTCATTTAAATTTCTTTCTGACCACACAATTAAACTATTTTGATCAAATTACAACATAAATGCAAAAATACACGTCACAGTGCAAATGATCAATTAAAATGTAACTGTCAGCCCTTTCAGTCTTACTTAATACTATGGTTTATATTTTTCCACTGGTAAGAATATTTCCTTATGTTTCCTTTCTATAACATTATGCAGCCTAGTTAATTATGCATCACTGTGGCAACTATGTAGAGCCAAGATTTGATATTTCAACTTCCTGATGGTCTCTTCCTAGAGGCAAGCACTAGTACCAGCTGTTTCTTGTATAAGAAGTAGAAAGCAGGACACAGATAATATATGTTCTCTTTTGGTTTAGACAGGGGAACATTAGATGTTTTTCCAAGAAAAAGAAATAGACCTCTGACATGTCAAACAGCCTCCTTGTGTCCATTGTGCATTTGTTTGCAAGCAGCAGGACTACAGATAAAAGACTTTTTTATTCCAAGTTGTCTGAAAAGCAATCATTCTGTCTAGTCCCTTTGGTTGCCAGTGGGGCAGAGTGGGTAACAACGTGGGAAAATGGATTAAATGGTAGAGCAAATGTGGCCAGTAATAAAAGACTGAGAAGTTGAATGAGGTATCTTATGAGAGACAGGCTTCAGACTCAGTCACCTACTCTATGCAGCATTCACTGGTGAAACAAAAGGAAGAAGTGAATGACCGAGAACCCATCTGCACTTTCTTACCACCTAAGAAGGATTTTACAGTCCACATGCAGAACTCTACCAGTAGCTGTTCACCTCTTTCCCAGACTATTTTATGACGAGAGAAGTCAAAGGCAGTATTTAGAATGTGTAGCTGTACCCAGACCACAAAGTTAACAGCCCTCAGGGCTGCTTGTGTCCTCATTAGTTTCAAGCAGCTTCACATACAGAGCTGGGAAATCTTCAGTTCTGCACATGTGCCTGAAGGTCACTCAATCTTCCATTGGAGAAAAAGTGTCTTAACATGCTTTGTGGCTAGAAGGTAGAAGTCTCACCTAGAATTAGGTGACAGAACTTCAGTTCAAACTTCTGTAAACTCTCAACCACACTTAAAGTGACCAGTCTTGACTAGAGTCGTCTCTTTCACATGTGAAGCCACAGAAGTATAAGCAAACCTGCAATCAGGAACACCTCCTAACCATGCTGTGTTCATGTGAAAGAAAACAAATTATTCCACAGAGCCTCTTTTAGCCCATTTCCTTGTCAAAGAAACACAAGCTTTGCACACAGCCAAAACCTCTCCTACAGAGTTATCCCTGAAGGTCTTCAACTCCGGAGAGCAGCTTATTCTTGGTGTTGTTTTATTATTTATTGGCAACAACATTTCTGAGGATGGCCAGGGAATTGTGGAACTTGCCATCTTCCCAGAGTACCTGCTTGACAAATAGCATCCTCTTCCGAACCTTAGCAGTAGTTTAGAAGAACACTATATGCATAAATTAAATCACATGCGTTAGTGACTGAAACTCAGAGATGCATTTTATACAAGTTGAGACAAAAATCTCACATTGTCTGATGTGGCTGGGAAAGGTGGCAGAGTAGTGTCATTATCACCAGTGCTCCTGTGCCATTTGGAAGGGCAGTATTGGCTGGCTGATTGTTGCTTGATGAACACTATTTATAAAGTTATCCCTAAAACCTGATCAGAATGACATGCTGGCTGAATGCATGATAATTTAGTTTAGCATGGAAAAATGTGGCATCCTTCCCAACTGAAAACAAATCCCAGAGCTAGAACTGCAACATGTCTACCCCTTGCCAATATGGACACAACCTTGAACTCACTGTCTAACAGGGATCAAGTAAAAGAATTCAGAGCTGGTGCTGTGTTACTGACAGCCTCTCAGTAGTCTCACTCTGTTGAGACTGAAGTCTGTTGTAACAGTCTACATATAACATGTTCATTTTAGGTAATTCATATATGACATTGTTTTTTCCCGATAAATTTAGAAGCAGAACAGCCTCAGATCTGTAACAGAAATTGCACTGCAATCACGCATAGTATGGAAGGAGACCTGCTATAGTATAATGGTCAAACAAGTTCTGTTCTGTTCCATTTTCAGCAGCTTTTCCTACAAGGGTTTAAGTTACTCATGATAGTTACATTTCTTTTTTTTGTTTCTACAAGTTCTCACACTAAAAGCAACTTGCTCTCAATTTATCTAAGACAAAATGCATATTTTAATTCAGTATTATCAAGGAAACCTAGTTTAAGACATCAAGTAAAAACCTGAAGAAAAGTCCTTATCATAAAATAGCTTTGCAAGTGCAAAATTTTTTTTTTGGTAACAAAGTGGAGAAACGTGTTTTTTTTTGTTGTCCCTCTTTGGTTTTGGCTGTTTTCCGTGGGGTTTTTTTGGGATTTGTTTGTTTTAATGTGCACTCTACAGATTGATGTTCAGGGTGTCAAAATTTATATTTTAAAAAAAACCACACTAAAATTTTCGCTTAGATTAAAAATAACTATAGCTAAGATTTCTGTTCCAGAGAGATTTTGTCAAATCTGATTTGCCTTAAACAGCTGTTAATCCCAACTTGACAAGACAGGCTTACTTAACTTACTTAAAGCTATTACACAATTTGCTACTTCAGTTGTTTTCTCAGTGTATTCTGCCTTCGATCTTCTAGTAATCACTCA